CTTAAACTTAAACTACAAGTTTTTAATGTCATATTCTCTTTGACAGCCACAAATCAAAATCACGAAAGAGACATGATCTGTGCTTCATCAGCAACCATGTAGTGATTGGTGAATTATGCCACAAGCAAGCCGAGACCCTTCTACCGGTCAAGTCTAGAGAGAACAGTTCAAATGATTCACTGACCTATCCGTACTTGTCATTTTAATACCTACCTAGGTAAGTCTTCTCATCCGGTGCATAATGTTTCATGGTGTGTCAAGACGTTTTGACTCGAGACCCTGTAAATTGAGCTTTATTCCCCACTGATGTCCCTTACAAGGCCGTCTTCATGGATAGAGCCTTGAGAAATATTGATAAAGCTTGGACTTGTCACGTCTTTACATTCCTGTCAATTGTGTTGAGTTACCAGTGGCGCACTTAGCTTTAAACACGATGAGTTACGTATTCATCCTACTGAATTGATGTGCAGCCAATTGCCAGAAATCCGCTGAATTGATTTAATATGACTGAATAGATTCATGCCACAATGTGATGATTTGATTATAAGTCTTTCAAGAGCCTCATCGCTCACCGGCTTGTCTCCGATTGGATTAACGACTACAGTAGATACGATGCTGCCAACGCAGTTTCAGTTGACGAGATACACGTTGGCTGCCTCGAGACCTGGCTGTGTCTTGTTTTGGGCTTTTGATTGGGGGCCTCTTTGTTCCGCAAACGTGGGTTCCAAGCTTGCCAGTGACATCTAGGACATGACGGACATTCATATATGACGGATACCCTTGTGATTGTTATACCGCTTACTCGCTGGCATGGGGAGGAACAATGACAACTTGTGTGCAGTCATAGTAATGTATGCCTTGGTTCATTAGAACAGGTTGACCAAAGCTGACCCTCGACGTTTCGTTGCGTCTGCTGAGGAGAAAATGACATGCAAGACACGTCGACTTACCTTGAGACATGGGTGCGTCTGGCCAATGGCACATTAGTATGAGAATGTAGAATGGCCCAAGACCAAGGCATTGATGAATGGAATGCCACAGTACGTAGGTACTCTTTAAAGATGAGTGCGTGCGCCTTGACAATTGCGATACTACAGCTCTAAAATAGGTGTATGTAGATTAGTCGAGTTGCCATTGAGAAGTACTTACTAAATATATGACGGGGAGTTTACAAAGGCGGAGGAGAGATGTTCGATTTACGTGCTACATACATTAGTTGATTAATTTGCCATTGGCGATTAGTTCATATCCATGGTTAGTAGGTAGGTAATAAAGCAGCGAGGTAGTATCCATACAGTACTTTATTAAAGCTTTGATCCTGTATCATAGGGACGTGCTTGTTAGGAGGTAGGTAAATTGCCTGTAGTGATTTCATGGACCCCTCACATCCTCTGGTGATACTTACCTATCTTTAGACTACCTACACTGTACTAAGGGATCGGCTTGGCTTTGTTTTTTTTGTTCCAACCTCTTTCTGTTCTTGTCTCTCCCTCTCTCCCTAAAGCGATCCACCTTAATTAATTTCATCGAGGTAACGACATCTACTTGCTATCGGCAACACCATACCTCGATCGAAATCGCATATCTGGCCCACCTGTGACCGTTATGCGACGTTGAACTTTCATCGACACGCGCATCATCTGCCTCTGCAACCTCTTACAACAACCTTCTTGACCGCCTCACCAGAATTATTTCGACAACGTTTTCAAAAAGGGCTACTTGACCAAAACAGACACCCAGCTTCTCTCGAGAACTGGGCGCCTCGTCGTCCAAAACTTCTTCGCCTTCGCCCTCCACACACGAGCCAAACAAAGTCCTCTATAACGACAGAACAAGAGACACACGACTTATCGCCAGGAAAGCTCTCGGGCAAATATATTTATGGCTGACTTGTAGCATATTGCCTCCTCCCCGAAGAGAAATAAAAGAAGAAGAAAGATCAGTGCAATGAGCTCCGACGAATCTCCTCCTGTCGAATCCCCTATCGGCCTTAGCGCGCCGCCGCCCGAGTCCAACGACGACCTCAAATCTATCCTGTCGCCGATTCTGCCCTCTTCGCCCGCACCTTTCAACAAGGCCGACTTCATACCGCTCGTCACCGTTGTCGGATTTCATCATGCCAGAGGCCCCGAAGTCGAGAATTGGTTTGGAGCTCAAGAGGGGACCGATCCAGCCGCAGACTATGGCTGGTCCTTGCTACCTTTTATGGCCTTGAGCGATGGTGCGCACGCGTGAGTTCGCCCACCTGACTGCAGTCGCCTCATCTACTTGGGATGGCGACGCTTTGCTTTTAACAGTGCTGAGAACATTGGGTAGATCGGAAGAGGACTTTTCTTACTTCACACTTCTTCGCCCAGAGACAGCTACGAAGCCCGCTACGTCACTCTTTGGAATATCATGTACTCGACAGCTTGACTCAACCCAACTCATCAACCGCCCTGCCGACGTCACACGTTCCACCGTCCAAAAGGCTGTTGTGGTCATTGCCGACAGCCCTCAGTTCTTTGGCATGCTTCGCGAGCGCCTGAGTATCGTGACGCAGGCTTGGTTCGCTCAGCGCGAGTTTACCGATGTTGAGATCCTCCGCAGGTTCCAGGAGAGCTTAGCAGATGAGAAGACCAAGGGCGTGCTGAACGATCAGGTAGACCGAGACCAGTATCTCGGTATGAGTCTCCGAGAGTTGATTCACGAGTACAAATGGCAAACATTAGTTCTCCTAAAGTGCTGTCTTCTTCAACCCAAGGTAAGATCTGCCTTTGCGCCCCCTGGAATGTTCAATGCTGACGAACTTGGCTAGATGCTTTTCTTCGGCTCGAGATGTGATAAGTTGTGTATGATGCAATTTTCTCTTTTGTCCCTGATACCCGGCCTCATTCGCAACCTGCAAGACAGTGCAGACCCTGAACTCAATAGTTATGAGACGAGCCTGTCAAAGCCTACGAGTTTGCGAACTAGTGATCGCAACTCTCTGCTATGCTACATGGGTCTTCCTCTCCAGATATTTGGCAAGGTAAGTCTCGGCGTACCAAGTCGTGTCTGGCAGCAATTAACGTAGGGGCAGGGAAGCTTATTTGGGCCTTACACCCCCTTGCAACAACTTGACATTCTTGCCGACTTTGGTACAAAGTCCTACATTGTCGGCAGCACAAACTCTCTCTTGCTCCAGCAGAAAGATCGCTATAGTGATATTCTCATTAACTTGGATGAAGAATCAGTCGTTATCAACTCACAACAGCTCAGAACCGCTCTTACCCTCACAGCTGCGGACCGAAGATGGATAGATTACTTGACCCATGAGATTAACGAGACATGGGATGATGCCAATCCTAACAGACCCAAGACGTTAAAGTACGTCGGCAGCGAGGAATTTATTAGGCTACAGTTCGAGGAGTATATTCTTGCACTCATCTCATCCGTCAAATACCACAACTACCTCAATGCGAACCCAAACAACCCGAAGGCAATGCTTCCTGAGGTTGAGGGCGATCCTGTTGCCGACTTTGGCTATGAGTGGGTAGAGGCTTGGAAGCGTACCGAGAACTATCGCATGTGGAACACACACACTGATTCTCATTTATTTGACATTGTCGATCCTCGGCATCCCTGCGCAGGCGGTCTCAATATCGAGGATGTTCAACGCCGTATTGCAGAACAAGTAAAAGAGTTACACCTGGACGAGCGTTTTGCTCAAGGTCGAGAAGTCCTCGGCAGGAATCTCGCCGCCGGCCGAGAAAAGGCTTCATTTGTCCTCAACAAACTTTATGCCGATATGGAAGCTTTACGAGAAGCCCAAAGACGCCGTGCTGAGGAAGCACGAGCAGCGTCTCCCCAAGATGCATCTGGCCAGTCCACTGGATCCGATGCATCCAAAGCCGGACAGACTGGACAATCGGCCGGTGCACGAGCGGGAGCCTACATCGGTAGCTGGACCGCCTGGGCTGGCGAGAAACGTCGAACGAGTGGCTGGGGGGCTGGTTGGGGTCGCAAAGCAAACACCAAACCTGACAAGTCTGCCGATGACTCTACATCAAGCAGTCCAATTGATAGAGATTACCAGATGATCAGCGCTCCTATATCGCGAGGGGGTAGTTCGGATGAGCCGGGTCCAAGAACACAAAGAGGAACGAGCTTCAGCGAGAGTATACTCTCAGGGGTCAGCGAGCCCAGCAGCCGACCAACCTCAGGAATCAACAAGCCTTTGCCTGGCCCGCCTGTACCCACAAAGGAGGACGACGGATTTCAGACAGAGGGAGTCGTAGGTTCGAAGGACAAACTGGCTGGTGCAAGTCCTCACCCTGACGTGAATGGGGCGGCGACGAAGGATTGATGAACCAATATAGTCTGGCTATATGGGACGACCGCGCCATGGGATACATGATATGATAGCACAAACCGAACTGTGTGACTTTTCTTTTTAGCGACATCCATATATATATGACATTTAGTATAACTCGTCAGAATCTATAATTTATACTTGATTAAGTCACAACAAATCACTTTAGCCAAGCGTAAGAACGGACAAACTGAGTCTGACTGTATATGGACGCCTCTTGTTTTCAAGTGTATTTGAGACATTCTTTCCTCGCTGCAGCTCATTCTATACCCCTTTTATACCTATATCCGCACCATCATCAATACCAATAACCCAGTCTCCTGTCTCTGAGGCGTTTCTCTCTTCCAAGCCATGACAGACCCAAGAACATGTAGAACGAACATTAGGATAAAATGAAGGGGTGTTAAGGGGGGGGGGGGGGGGGGGGGGGTTGTTCATAGCACTCTGTGCTGGGTTCGAGGTGCCAACCATCTAATGTTGACCAATTCCCATCCTCATCGTTCTTGCCCGTAGCCGTTTCCTGGCCGCTCATGGCCGCTGAGATCACTGGATAATCACTCCGAGGTATACGTAGCAAGTTGGGTATACGGTGAATGATAAAACGAGGAGCAAAGGTGAGTCACCCACCTTGACCTCGTAACGATATACTGTAACAATCAATCAAGACTTAGGCAAGGTATCCTAGCTCATCATCCTCCAGACGCTCTAAGTACTCCTTGTCCAGCAGAATTTCTATGCACTTCTTGATATCGCCAACTTTAGGCACGAACCGCGACCGGATCTGGTTGATGGTCTCGCTGACTAGTTGCGTGTGCTTCATCTTCTTACGTGCCTTCATGATTCGTACGATTGCGGACTGTAAGAGAGTCAGTAAAATTCCCCGCGATTACAGCAAGCAAATCCATACCTGAAGAACCAACTTTCGATCCTCCTCGATTGTCTTGTTAGTCTCGACCTCCTCTTGCTTGGTCTCCTTGGTACCGCCAATGTTCAGATTGATGCGAATCTTTTTGCTCTTGAAGTCATAGTTGAGCTTGAAAGTTTTACCAGATCCTGGCTTTTCACCAGCTGCACCTGACATGATGAGAACCTTGGCCTTCAGAAGAACAGCAATTGCCTGGTCTGAAACCTCCTTGCTAAGTTGGGTAGCGCTGAGGATATCATCGTAGCTATAGCTGTCCTTCTCATTGAAAAGAAGTAGGATGGCCATCTGGTAGATTGATACCTGAAAAGTGTAGGGCGTCTTGCTTGCCTTGCAGTAGCTTGCCTTGATCTCACCCTTGCAAAGATTCCACATCCACGTAAGCTTACGGCCATCATGCTTGTGCTTGTAGAAGCGGGTGAATCGCTCAATCTCGGCTGCAATTTCGGGAGGCGGGTTGAAGTCAGTGTTGGCCGCTGTCAACGGCCAGAAACCTGTTCCCAAGATAAAGAAAGTTGAGTCAACTACCTTTGTCGACTCAACGCCTTCGAGGTGAACCCGAAACTCCTTGTTCAGGTCCCCTGAAATTTGCATATCCTGGAACATACGCTGGAGCTTGTTGGTATACTCAAAACCACAAGCTTCTTTGAGTTTGCTGATCATGCTGGTCTCAGCGTCATCGGAAGATGAGTTGCTGTTCACTAGACGTCGGGCAAGCATACGAGAATAAAACTTTTGGAAGACATCCTTGTCTTCGATGTACTTGAATACCGTCATTATCTGATCAAGGGTATGTTCCAATTCGGATTCCTCGATGCTTGTGCTGCTCTTTCTGAGCAAAACATCAGCGTACTTGGCCAGTAGCTCCGGCGACTTGCTGGACCCGGATTTGCACACTTCATTTCGGTTGACAAACTCTCTGCATGCGTTATCCAGAGATCGTGTGAACTCAGGTTCGTTCTTGAAAGCTCTCTCGACGAGGCCCTGGTACTGCGTGTGAATATCGAGTAGAGCATCCACATAAACCTTTGGCTCGAGCTTGTCACCTTCCGCAGACTGAATCTTTTGCACAGCAGCAAGACCAGCCTTTCTGACATGTGTCTCGAAACGGGCTCTAAGAGGATCCAGGCCATCTGGAATTCTTGATAGGAGGTTGTACATTCTGGCCATGTCCTCCTCTCGGTCGTTATCAAGAAGCACTTGGAACTCTTCTCTGAGGAGAGCTGAGTGGTCCGCAATGAGAGCTTGGTTGCAAGTCCTTTTAAGCGGAAGGGCAATGTCCCGATGCAAATACATGCCAACGCGTTCCTCTTCTTCGGCAAGACGTGTCTCAGCCTTCTTCATATATTCCACAACACTGTTCTCTGCCACAAACTGCTTCGACTCGGCAAGGTAGAATTCCTTGGTGGCAGTGAGGAACGGGCGCTCGAAATGGAAGCGATAGACATCGAGCGTGGACTTGGATGGGTCTGCTTCGTCCAGTCCCAGGGAGACGAAAGAATCCACGACCTGCTTGATTTGGCTATGCTCGATAGTCTCGCCGTTCCTTTGCTTCTCAACAAGTTTAAGGACAGCATCCATGACCTTGACGTTGACCTTCTCAAAGAGCTCCTTCCTCCATTGTACGAGATGTAGTGTGTAGACGTCGTAGATGTTCTTTTTACCCTCGTCAATCTCGCGCTTCACCCAGTGTCGGTTGAGGTAGCGGAAAAGGTGATGGATGTACTTGGCAGCGACTGTGTATCGGCCCCATTCCTTAATGTAGAAAGCGAGCAAAGCCTCGTCAGTGTGCGTTTTGCTTTGGTTTACCAGGTCCTCGAGATGGTGCTTCAGGTAATCTATAAGCTTATTGTATAACTCTTCGCCGAGAAGATGCGCTGTCAAAAGTTAGATATATCGTCCACAAGTAAAAAAACAGGCTATTTGTACTCGCCTCCTCGGTGATTATTGTGCATCGCAGGGTTCATGCCAACAGCCTTCTGAGATGTGCAAAAGTTGTGGACAGCGCTATAAGGTGTCAGTACATAACCCCAGTAAGCTACAATCAAATGCCACTAACGTATATACGCCCATGTACATCTGCATGTCGATACCCTGTTCAAGTTCGTTCATGACGCGTGCGATTCCAGCCTGTAGGTAGGTCCATCTGTTCCAGTTAGCTTCTGCACTTGGAGAGTTCTCACGCGTGCGGCTTACGTTGCCCCAATATCCTCCCTATTAGGTATGGGGGGCATCTGGCTCGGCGCGCCCATCTTTGTAGCCATTGTGCGCGAACAGCCGGATGTTGATGTTGGTTTGAGGATGGTATCAACGATGGAGGCGGGGTCGGTATCGAGGGGCTCGACGCGATGTCGTCACAGTCGACAAGGTGGGCTTGTATGGTGTAAAATTAGAAAGCAGAGCTGGAAGGCGGAAGTTCAATGCGGTGGTATGGATAATCCTCGGCGCAGTTGTTTGGAAGGAAGATGTTGTGAAGGCTGGGTCCGAGATCCTTAAGAACGAGGAAGTCTACTGTCGATTTAAGAGGCGGCTTCAGATGAAAGCAGCATGAAAGTAAGGGCTGATAAAGTTTTTGTTTTCTTTTGGAAAAAAGCAACAGATTATAAAGTTAAATCAGTCCGTACCGCGCCAAATGAGTCATGAAAAGGAAACAACTCGTGAAATGAGGGCGGTTCTTCACGGTCAAGTAAGTGTACGGGAATGGGAGGAAGATCAGGCAGTAGGTCAGACCGCAGCTGGGATGGAGAAGGCATGGCAAGGCGTAGTCCACCTTAGTTGGTTGAGGCAAGGCCACCCCTCGCTACAAGTGGCTTAGTACTTGGTTCTGCCACTTGTCACCGCTTCAGGCACGGGCAAGGGTCTGGAGAGTGTGACGAAGGGAGTCTATTTCAAGATTCCATTGTTTCAAGGCTGAGTAGTAGACGCCACGAAACACACACAGTTTATAAATTGACAGAGTTTAATGAACTGGCCTAACCTTGGAGATTCACTGTAAGGAAAAGAATGGTATATATAAAGAACTGCCAGTTAATACCACTTTTGTATTCTCAAATATTTCACCAAGAAGCATTGTACAATGTCTAGTTTTATTCATTTCATCTACTTGAGGTATCCCTGACACTAAGAAATATACGTTTTATGGGGTAGGTATGGAAGATACCTGCCTACCAATGGAGCCATGACCGTGACTGATGATGATAATACTGATAAAGGAAAAGGAAAAAGCAGCAATGAACGCTCAACACGGTCTACCGTGATATCAGAGTCAAATGTCATATCCCAACCATCCGCGCGTCATAAGCACTCCCTGCTCAAAGGGGTATCCCAAAATTCAAAAGCCAAGTCCGTTGCACCAATTCCCCATCCTAACTAACTAGGTAACTAACCATGTCCACTGTCGTCCTCACCTCCTCCCAGACGCGCCACAGTGCGGAATATGTTGACTGCAAAGTTCATCGACCAGGCAATCAATCCTAATAGCATGAATGCTGCTAGAGCCTTGGATAGGTTCCGCACTGCAGGATCGGACAGGTTGTGGTAAACAAGGCTTTCAAAGGCGAGTGCTGTACTCGCGGATTTGAAAATGATGAAAAACAGGTCGAGCAAGATCAGGGAAATCTTAGAGACTACTGATCGTAAGCCCAGAGGCTTTCCAGTGTATTCGTCCCAGATCATGTACCCAATGTATGGGATGGCCACGCAATCTACAGCGACGGCAACAATAGATTGTGTCTCCTCGGCCGAGTCCGTACTATCGACGTCTTCGAGTTGATGTATCCGTGCTGCGACACCGAGTGCGATAATCGAGGTGACCATGACGCTCAGTCTAAACATCAGGGGGGCGAGAGAATGGCGGATAGCCATATACCAGATGCGTTTATATGGGGCAAGAGTCTTCCTCTTCCGGGATATTCTGGCTTCTTCAGCGTTGTAGGGGTGTCGGGATGGCGCATCAAAATTCGGTTGTAAGTTTCGGAGAGCCTCAATATCCATCACTTTCGAGTCTTCGTTCGTCATACGACCCCAAGATGACGACTGGACAAAGTCTTGCCATGCTACGCTTGGTTGCGAGGTCAAAGCTGGTTTGTGTCCGGGCACAATAACAGGCTCTGCAGATCTCAAATGGTCCCATTTCCTACCACGCATCGAGGCGCGCCCATAACGCATAAAATGAGGAATTTTACCTCTCGTTTCCTGTCCTTGGCCTAGAAGGGGATCTTGTGGATCGACGAAGCCATCTTTTGAGACCCGTCTTTGGGGATCGCTTGGCAATGAGTTGTGTTGAGGGGGAACGGCGCGCGTGGGAGGTTGAAGAAGTCGTAGTTGGTCGTCGCTCGCCGAGCCATGCTCACCATCATAAGAATTGATCCATGCTATATTTGAGGTCAGTTTTCGAGGAACAAGCAATAACGTCTTGTACTTGTGAATGCTTACGTGGTAAGGATCGAGGAGGGCGCAGTCGGGCAGATCGGCTCGCAACAGAGCTGCTCAGCGTACGACCAGAATCATAAGTATGGGAAGAGTCGCAATGTGTGCCATTACCGGTTCCAGTTCGTGGGGGCGAAGGAGTTGGAGTCATGACTTGTGAGCGGCAACAGAAAGAAGCCTCGTCAACGATCGCTTTTGTTTATATCTTCAGCCGGATATCTTAGCCGGCGAGGGCGATCGCAAAACGCACTCAGAGCAAACTCTCATGGCAATCGATTTGTTGGAGCGCGGCTGAGCCGGCGGACACGCAGGACGGGTACCTAGAGAACAAGTGCACAACAGCGACCTGAATTGATTATGCCGTAGTGAATAAGTAAAAAGCAAGGTAAGGTAACTGGGTAATTAAACCGGTGACCGTCAAGGCTGGACTCGAGTTACGCAAGATACATGAGAGACACAGAGAACATTAAAAAAAAATATCAAAAAAAAGGTAGATATCTGTGCAATGAAAATGGGGAAATTAAGATGAGATTACGGAGAAGAGCGTCTTTCCATGTCCTTGTTCTTGGTCCCGACCTTCCATGACCAGGCGTTTCGACGCGCTGGTCTGTGCAGGCCCGTCATCCATTGACCGTTAGCGGGTGAGATTACCTGTCTCCTGTCGACTCTGAGAGCGCTAAAAGGCGTCATTGCCAAGGTTGGCTACTAATCCAAATTGCGCCGTGACCAGCCAGTGTCTTGTGCCGTTTTTCCTCCAGCATAGAATGAAATCATGAGAGAATGTCGTAAACAAGAGAGTAAATACTTGCTATTGACACAATAAACTCTGGCTTTCTCTCTATAGAGCACCACAGCACAAAATGAGATGATAAGCTTCAACTGTAATCCGTCATCCTCGCATTACCCCTGTCAATCCCAGTTTTGCCCAGAGTGGCTACGGATCATTTGCATGCCTGCTGGCTGCCTCCTTGCAGCTACGTAGATCCCATAAAAGCACGGAGCAACAGGGTCTGTCCTCAGCTACTCTATTTATACGGATACGCGGGAAAAAGTCACAGCGTTTAATTAACATCACGCGACAGACAGACTGCCTTGCCCCATAGATAGCGCCTAACACGTATCAGAATCAGAAAGCTTTTCTAGATTGTCATTTCAGCTTCCACATGGCCACTTCCTAACAATAATGTCAGACAAATCTTATTTTCTATCATTTACCAGTAGTAGTGAATTCTCCGATTCTCCAACAACCCGCCGGTACTTGCAAGCAATTTGTCTCCACTCAAATCTATGTCATGGCGATGGTAGCTGACCCCAGTCCGCCTTCCAACTGGTTGTCCAGGACTGAGGTATTTGTTGGAGATGGATATTCATACTCACGAGTTTCTGTTGGTTCTTCTTTTGCGCATGCGTCAGAGGTTACACTTATTCTGTCCACTGTAGTCATGTCCCTCAGATACCTTCCAAATCTTGATTTAAACAAATTCAAGCTCGAAAGCTGCATCAAAGCGGGTAATCCAGCATAAGATCCAATTACTATGATGAGTTATTGTTCAGTCATATTCGTAGTGGATGTTGAAAGTTGATGAAATTAGTTGCGTCCAATCAGGCCTCAATAAAACAATCTTCAACTCGTTAGGCTCTAATTCCCGGTTTTAGCTCATCGACTCCACAGCTAACCACTAACATAATAGTTACCTTAGTACCTATATCATATGGATAATATCTCAACGAGTAAGTCAGTCATCATTCCATAGCAGACACGATACAGACCACACCAACTATGGTTTTGAATGTTTTTGATTTTCTAGTATTTCGTCAGATTGTTTTCTTCAATACAATTCCTTTGGAACCGCATCAAAATATGCTGTTGAAGTACGGCTCAAAATAATGTTGACCTCAATGAAGTTGATGTATAATCCGGTCTTCCAAGGCCTGGGCAAACCCCTCTTCAAAAATAGTCCATCCCGTATTTTAGTATTTGTAAGGCCGTAAGTGTTGGCCAGCCAATATTTCGTGATAAATAGCTAAACAAGCCAAACGAGAGCTGGCAGGAGATCGCCCCTCCAGTCCATTTTCGTAGCTGTCAAGGCTATTGGTATCGGTATGTGATTGGGTGTGAATGTGCTCGATGTAGTCTGAATGAAGTTGTTGGAACAATTTCCGTCGGTCATCGCCCCGCCTCATTATCGTTCTTATGAAAACCCAGCCATTCGCCTAACACGCCTCCTGGCTTCGGTAGAGGACATTCCCTCTTGGCTCTGTCGTGTGCGTTTTCAGATTCCTCGGTTGACACATCATTGAATTGGACGATTCCATCTTCGACCTTGGGATTGGCATCCTTTCTCCTCCACCTTAATCGTCGACCATTTTCGTCAACCATAATATCTCCATCGGCGAATCGGGCTCGGGGAACAGGACAAGGAAGCATATGAGGGATTGTGACGACAATAAAGCAGGCGGCGACGGTCGTTGCGAAGAGCGACGACGTCATTCGCGACTTTGGGTGAAGGAGTGGTGGCATGATATGAGGCCGGGATCCAGAAAGCGGGCGGTCGTTCGAGAAGGGATTAAAAGTCTCAATTGGTCGTTAGCGGATGATTCAATGGATTGAGGATACCATTGAACTCACATAACGACCGTAGCATCGTCCTCTCGACACGCGTTGACCAGGTCCACGAGCCAGTGTTATCGAGCGATTTGTGGTGGTGATCCAGAAATCCGGAGTGCCCAGTCAAACCTGAGTTATGTTATGCTTCTCATTGGCTACCGGTTCAAGGGAATGTTGTCGGCATCGGTGGAACGTAAGGCCGATAGAAACAACCTTTCGCGGGGCAGCAGTTTCCAGGTTAGCTCCACCTCGATAAGGCTGCTATCATCGGATAGAGCGTCACTCACCGGCGCGAATCACGAAATCTCCAAATCTATCTCCAACACACACGCGACCAGCTTTTAGTTTTCCCCAAGCATTGTCTTTGGCGGCAGATCGCAAACCCAAGTTATACTTTGGTATATATCTACCTATCCTAATCTTTTTATTTCGACGCCCTCCGAACAATATTTTGCCCGGCGCGCACCCCAAGCGTCACCCACTCCCGCAATAATGAGCGACCTTGACAAGTAAGGCTTAAAGCCCGATCGCCAATCACCGGACTGACCTTTTGATCATAGGGCCATTGCGCAACTGCGCGCATGCCGACCGATCCCAGAGGCACAAGTTCGTGAGCTCTGCCACAAAGCGCGTGAGCTTTTAATAGAAGAGGGAAACGTCGTCACTGTAACGGCGCCAGTCACGGTATGCGTTGTTCCTTATTGAAGGCATCTGCTGTGTCTCGACAACGGCTGATATCCCTGGCAGATATGCGGTGATATTCATGGCCAGTTCCACGACCTGATGGAGCTATTCAGAGTTGGTGGCGATGTTCCTGATACAAATTACCTTTTCATGGGTACGACTTTTCATCCGGTGTTGCAAATCTCATCTGGACTAACACAAATTTCTAGGCGATTTCGTCGATCGCGGTTTCTATTCACTAGAATCATTTCTACTCTTACTCTGCCTCAAGGTCCGATACCCCGACAGAATGACTCTAATTCGTGGCAACCACGAGTCTCGCCAGATAACGACAGTCTACGGCTTTTACGATGAATGTATAAGAAAGTATGGCAGTGCTAATGTATGGCGCTACTGTTGCGATGTCTTTGACTATCTAGCGCTTGGTGCAATCGTGCTGGGTGCCTCAAACACAATGTCTCCTGGTGTGGAGCCTGTCGACGACGAGACTGAAATCGAGGTTTGCGACCAGAACGGCTCCATAATGAGTCGATTCCCCCGACGCCGACCAGATGGAAGTTCGCAAGACCAGCTTCAAAGCCCAGGCGGAACGGCCATGGATAAAACTGGACCACCAGGCTCGGGCGCCTCAGGGTCCAGTGGCGGCTCAGTCGGAAATCCAGCCGGGGCAGTACTCTGCGTTCATGGTGGCCTAAGTCCCTTGGTCGATACAGTGGATAAGATCCGACTGATAGATCGAAAGCAAGAAGTACCCCATGAAGGCGCAATGTGTGATCTCCTCTGGTCCGACCCTGACGAGATCGATGGCTGGGGTCTCTCGCCGCGAGGAGCAGGCTTCCTTTTCGGTGCAGATATTGTCAAAGTCTTCAATCACCGCAACGACCTCAGTCTCATTGCACGCGCTCATCAACTTGTCATGGAAGGTTTTAAGGAAATGTTTGACGCATCCATTGTCACTGTTTGGTCCGCTCCAAACTACTGTTACCGATGCGGCAATGTCGCTGCTGTCCTCGAACTCTCTGAAGATGAGTCTGGCACGGGTCTTTTTGCCCGAAGCAACGGTGATGTTGGGAGGAGTGATGGCGGTGCTGGAGCTATGATGGACGGCAGTATGCCCCCAAGGAGCGGACCTGCGCGACGCTACAGAGTCTTCCAAGCTGCACCTCAAGATTCGCGAGGCATGCCTGCTAAGAAGCCGGTTGCTGATTACTTTTTGTGATTGGATAGATAGGTAGTATACGTTTGGCATTTGTTTTCTTGATCGCTATGCATAAGGTGGTCTTTACATTGGCAGATTCATTAGGGTTTTTTTTGGGGGGATTATGGATACGGCGCGGGAGTTGTACTAATTCAAAATTCATTTTCTTTTGCTGCCTGACTAAGGGGTATCACTGCTAATACGCCATACAAATGCTAAACAGCCTACACAACAGTATCTGACGATTGATGTATCGAACATTCCGTCGCAGGACTCCAATAAAATGGCCAAACAAGCTCATACAATGAAAACACCCCCTGGTCCTTCTCTTGGTTCGGCTTCTACTCGGTCGCCAAACTTTTTCAAGCTTTCCAAAGCAAGCTGCAAATTATCAAAACTTTCAATGGCTCCCCAGTTCACCGATTCAGGATGATCGTACACTGTCGTCAGAAACTGAATGGCCATGACAAGTTCTTCTTCTCTCTGCTGTTCACGTGCCTCTGAGGTCAAGAGATACGGCATCTGGTCAAAAACGGCATGTAGCTGCTCTTGTTCTTGGTCGGAAGGCTTTCTAGCCTTTTTGCAGATATCAGTGATGAGAGTAAGTATAACGATACCGGCATTGACGTCGTCATTATGAAAAGGTGAACCTGCACTCGAACCATTGCTTGTTGGGTTAGTTTGACTGTTCACTTCCCGAGATTCTTGTAGTGATCTCTCACTTGGTTCGGGTTCGGCCTCTTCTTCTCCAGCTTTCTCTTCGCACTTGTCTCTCTGCTGCGTTGGAGCGTGTTGTGAGGGCCTTTTTTTCGATAGTCTGAGCGGCAGGGACTTGGACCAGACGTCCTTTGCCGGTCCTTGACTAAAATCTGCTTTGATCTCCTTTTGGTTATTTTTTGCACTTTCCTCAAAGGGTTCCTGGCAAAGTGCCTTGCTCGTCTTCCCACCCATGTTGGATGCAGTTTATTCCACTCCTTTGTTGGAAGCAGACGATTTGCGTATGATGTAGGAGTGGTGGTTAAAGTTGGAGTTGCTACTCTGACTTTGATTTGCGGAAGACCACCGATGGGTGCAATTAAATATACGCTCGATCTCCGAAGGGTCGAATAGATTTGTTCGCTGATAAAACCTTGGCTTGATGCAGAATGCGACATGATTGAAAGTTGAATGAAGCATCGAGTATGGATATCAAATGGCTTTTATGGTTCTGATTGAACATTTGCGCAGTTCAAGGTAGAGTATTCAGGGTGTTCTCGAGCGATTGTTCACCTTGTATTTCACAAAGAAACAAAGAATGTTCAACTCTTGGGCCTTCTCTTCCTGTCCTGTCAGGCATTGTCCTATACTTGGAAGCGTGGCTCGTCGCTTGGTCGTTGTCTTGGAGATCGCGATTGGTGTGAAGTACTGTATGCGTAATGAAGCGAGTTGGAACTAATATGTCATTTGATATAAGTTGTCTTTGTTGTGATCTATCTCTCTGATACTTGCTGGCAATCTCTTTGTCCATCAGCACAGGTTGTTCGAATGACCTCTGTGAGTGTTCGAGTATGGCATTGCATCGACTGTCCGTAGAGAGTAGATTAGTACCAGGCCTTTGTTCTTGCAGTGCAAAAGTTCGAGAAAACATCGTATAAACGGTCTCGAGCCTCTTTGAGCAATCCTTTCTTCGCTGCGCTATGATCGAAGTTTGGCGAATGAACAAATCGTATCAACACTGAATTATGTCTCTTCAAGTTACCAGCGCTGTATCATGTAAACCGGGTCGAAACAGGACTGTGGACCGTCGGGACTCCGTCTCGCCTTGCCATTCATAACCCATCATCTTGGCTAAGGTACGTAGTATATTCATTGATCGGTACTGGGGCGGAACCGGTCATCGTCGACTCTGCTTCGTGCGGAGTTGGTTTTATGGGAAATATCACAACACTGAAGTAGATTTTGAGAGTGTTTCAGGGTGAGTGCCGGAAGATTTTGAGGCCCACGGGGGCCGCATAATCCATTGGGTCGGTGAAAAGCCTTCTGCATGATCGTTATCCAGTCAACACGGCCCCGGAGGGCCGCCATCCTGTCCAACCGGGTTATGAAAGGTATTCATTGGCAAAGTGTAGCCCAACGATGACGAGACATCTGTTTGCATAGGTGCCACAGAATAGCTATGCCGACGAGGATCATCCACCAAAGGCCCTTGTGCAGTGATAGAATGATAACCTTCGGTTCGCGAGACTTGAGGGTCAGAAAACATGTGCGAAGTGTATTGCTGAGGGTGCATCGACGAAGTGATCGAGTGCCTTGGCACTGGCGTCGAGACGTTAGAAGGGAGTGGTCGATTATGGGTGTGGGCATATGCTGGACCAGGCTGAATGGACTGGCCAGGCTCCCATAGAGAAGAACTGCTTGTAGATCCACTGGCGATAGATGGTTCACGGCTATCCTGCGGGGGGATAACGTAAGACATGCCCGTTTCAAGAGTTGCAGGTCTTCTGGGAGCAATAATCTGTTGGAGGGATTGGACGCTCTCGCTTGGCGTGTTGGAGGCGAAGGAAGATAATGTTGTCTGGTCTGTTTGTGTCACCGTCCCAGAGGTTAAGTAGTTAGATATGTAATCATCGCCGATTCCATGTCGGTTGAGAAGACCACGAAGCTGCCTGTTCTCCTCTGCAACCCTCCGCGCAGCGTGTTGTACCTCTGAAGACGCCTCGACACCCTGAAGCTCGTACACTCGAAGTCGTTGCTCCAATTCTTGAAGATACTCTCTCCTGCGGGCCCGGGATCTTCTTTGATTATCTCTGATCCGGGCAAGGTTGGCTTTTTGCTAAAAACAGGGACACTCTAGTGTTAGGAGCGATGGACGAAGAGGGGGAAAGGAGGCAGACAAAAGGACAGGAACGTACTGCTGGTGTGGACATTGGGCCGTTTCTAGATGTAGCAAAGCAAGCGTTTTCAAAGTGCGTCGAGAGTTGGCATCCAGGTAGCTCAGGAATCCAACAACGACTACCTTGCGAGAACACCGTAAGGTTGGTCAAATAACACTGATCAGGAGCAACAGGAAGTGCTCAAGACAGGTGCGAGAGCTCAAGATGGGTCAAGCTGAAATAGTTCAGATGAGGAGAACCCAGGTCTAACGGGACGCTTTCCCTTTTATCGAAAAGATTGATGGGGCACGGGAGTGACATATACCTGGGTGTTTATAAAGACTTAAGATGACAAGCTCATGAGAGGGCCCGCTACTACATGGAAATGTCAGCCACAGCGGCAAATATTTTCTTTTGTAGAGGGTGAAAGAATACAGAAAGATTGGGGGCCTCTACTACAATATGAAGGAAGTAGTAGATACATGTATAGAGGGCTCGGAGAAACCCATCAACGGACGAGGCAGCCCTATTGGGAGAACGACGACCGAGCTGGAGCGGGACGGACGAGACCATTCAATGCTAGTTGTGTAGAGAAAGCTACAGGGCTGCGCTATGAAATAAAAGTTATGAACTAACTCCAATCCCAGCGCAAGTCAATCTGCGACAAAAGAGCCGGTCAAGTGAGTAGTCAGGGAGTCAGGGGACCGGGCGAGCGAGCAGCGCGCCACCAACTCGATATGCGGGAAATGGTAACAAGCCACACTTGGGCACTGCTCTTGACTTGTCTATTCGCAATCCCATCCAAATCTCGTTGCATTTGTGGACTAAGAGGCAAACGAAGTTACGCTCGCAGCGTCACGGTGCTTACGCGAGGGCGTGCAATAAAGATTAGACAGGTGTCCCACTAGTAAAGGAGATGTATATCATGTTATAGGCCTTAATGAGATGGCCTAGGGATGTGGCATGGTAAACTGTATCGGAGCTTGTGAGAAGGGATTTCATTGAGCACGTGTGTTAAGTTGCAGTTGATTGAACAGGAGGTGATGCCGCATGCAAGCTGCCCAGGGATCTTGTCACTTGAGGTAGTGGCTGAGAAGGTTTTGAGTTCGTGGAAAGCGGAGAGGGAGCTGAATGACGGAGGTCCGGGACAACAGAGGGGATGAGGATCAAAAGGTCAATGTTAGCGATTCGATGAATGGGCTTCGTTCTATGGTCAGGGAGAAACCCATCAACAACGACGTGATTCGGTGACTACCAGCCCAAGAGCTCCGAGAACACGGCTACCAGACGACACATCACACCCACTTTGGAAAAGTCGCTGCAGAAGAAGACGGGTTGGCGTGAGCCGTTATTGCCCCCTTGTGGCGATAAGGTGGGTGTAAGTCAGACAGGGTGCACTATACGGAGATCATTGCTGAGCCACGCGCTCATAAATACACATCCTTGACTTGAAATCGAATTGGAAAGACCTTGGAGAGTCGAAAGTATCGAGCCCTCCCAAATCGTCCAACAGTGCGAGGTTCACGCAATTGTGCAGAATTGCTTGAAGAAACTGCACGGTATTGTCGGAGACCGATGCATCAGAACATGGCCTTCTTTGTCTGTAAGGCAGGTAGCTAATTAATCGAGGGGCGGCTCTTACCTCTGAGCTAATAAGTTCCATGTCAAGGTCAAGGTTAGCTAGCATCTTGATGAGAATTACCTAGCCCGCTGACAGGCATCGTGTTTGGTCTAGGTAGTAGCAGGTAGGTCATGACGGAAAGTGTGGACCCCTGGGGGTAAACTGGACCATTCCCCAGTTGCCAGTAAGGGCTAAGCTTTGGTGGAGGAGTTGCCGGGCGCCGTTTTCATTTTTCGAGATAGGATACCGTCCTGTAGGTACTGAACAGGTCAATAAAGGACAGTACACAAAGACTGGGATAACGCTAAGTATGCACGGTCTGTCACGGTTAGTGGACGGGAAACATTGGAACGGGAAGAAATACATAGCAGATTGATAGCAATAGAGATGTCGTATATCGCCGTTGAAGGCGTTTCAGGCGTTGACTGGTGGATCGACATTACTTACAGCCCAGGTGTTCTGGTACTGTGGTACAAAAGATAGGTTGCCCGAACTCCATGGGCCCGACGGCGTGTAACTTGGGCCCGGCACCAACGGCCAAGCATAACAGCAAGAAACGGTGATGATTGGGTTCAGGAGAGGCAGCCCAAAGCCAGGATCCATGGATCCGTTATCCGTACGAAGCGATTCGAAACGGGCGCAAAATTCAAGAAAAGCAACATCTTGAAGCGCTGTATCGAAAATTCGAATTTGGCGACGACAGAGTGAAGGCCTAGAACCAGTTGCGCGAATGTAGGACAGGGAGGGTATCCATGCATGAATCAATCAACGCGGCGGTTCAAGTTGTAACGGCACAAAGACAAGCCTCTCCTCTCCTCTCCATCCAGCACAGTGCCGTACAGTACAATGCAGAGGTTGGGAGGCAAACCATAGGAAGCTCATCAACGAGGTGGTGGTGATTGAATTGCCTTTTCTAGATATGTACTCAAGGTTCGAGGTGAAATGACAGTGTCATGATACGATGAGCCGAGTTTTAGCTGTATGACGATGGCCATGGAAGCTGAAGAGGTAGGAAGTAATCACCAAGGGAACATTGTCATGTGCCTTCCTACCTGGTAGTTCTGCACTACGGTACCATTTAATTCCCTTCCCCAATTTCCAGGAAGGGAGCCAACTCCACTGTTTCCCTTTAGTGGTTAGAGCCCCCTAATCTCGATCTTCGTCAGGGAAGGAGAGAGGCTGTTCCAAGGGTTTGGGACTCAACGTCTGAATGTGGCTGAGGGACTCAAGATCCAGACCCTGTCTCCACCTCGGCAAATGCCGACCAACCACTCAACATAAAGTTATTAAACATGACATGCCGGATTCAAATACTGACTGCATTGAGACAACAGAACAAAATGGTGTTTTTTTCCTTATTACCTCCGTTACTATATGATTCTACAATTCGTATATCAATCAATCTTGGTATGATGCGTATTCGATACAATACATAAACTAGAGTTTGCCAAAACATAAAACGACCAACTCATCATTCAAAACACATCATTTTTATCAGACCTTCTCCATTTATTGTCAGGCTTTTTCAGCCGCTTATGTGATACGTCAAACAAAACATGCCATGGGCATAGTCGCGTAATCCCAGCACCGTGGTAATGGTAACGGAGGCTACCGGATTTGTGTTCCGCAGCGACTATTACAAGTATAGTAGAATACATCCAAGCTGAACAACTGCATAATACGCCATCTGAGAGACAAAAATGGAAAGGGGGACCTATTGGCATCCACGATCCATCCACTGCAATGCAGTATACGTAGGCCATCAACCATCAGCCGAGGACCTCGGTAGGTGTAACAATAAACCAAGTTCGGTCCGGTGCCTATTCGCAATCTGTGTAACATGAGAAACCTCTTCAACTCTAAGCCTGAGAGATACTTTCACGCAGAATCTCTTGGTAAAATGTGCAGCAAGTAGGTGAGTGGTAATGATTGTTGTCCCTGACTTGTCCCGACTTCCGAGGCCCACTGTTGTCCGCCTCGGTCACGGAGCTGCCGGTGAGAGTGGGTCCCTCCATGCGCCGGGTATTGTTTCTCATTCGGCGTTCCCTTTGCTCAATTTTTCCTCCCTTTGACTCTTTTTTCTTTCTTTTTGCTTCTATTTCCTGTTGATGGATGCATCCAAAAAATGACTCTCTCGGGTATTACAACTGTAAACCCAGTTCTTAATGAATGTATCAGCCAAGCATATCATCCAACCAGCCGAACAACGTCCGCTGCCGACTTCCAATAATAAGCCGTCGAGTCAGTTACGGCGCTTGAAATTTTATCTCGGCTGGGATGCAGACACCGACACCGACTCAGAGCGAGAGTCAGGCTCATGCAGGACAGAGTAGATTGACTCTCAGATCCCAGCCGAGCTGAGTTGTCGGTCCGTCTTTCAACATGTTCGGAAAATTATTTTCAGTTGGCAGGTATGTATGCATGTCTGGATACGTAACATCCACGCAATGTTCACGATTCAGGCGGTCAAGGGACGAGAGAAAAACGTGGCAGTTGTGTAAATTTTAAACATGACAGCTTCACCGACGGACGATACGTCCCATTGTTGCATTGTGTTACCCTTTCTCTATATTTCAGCGCTCTCATCCCTGTATGTCTTTGTTTTTCCTGACTCAAGCATCAACGATAGGCTGATATTCGTACTCCAGCCAGAAGTATCGTGTACTTCAACCTTTTTCACGGATGGTGTAGTACTTACATCGATCCCGCGAGCTATTCCCATCCCTTCCTCCCTAGCTGCCCGGGGTCGAGTCATGGCATTTTGCACGATAAATCTTACCAGCTTGTCAACCACGTGTTGAGCTGCTTCAAGTAGACTTCGTCTCGAAACACCGTCTCAAACTCGTCCCTCTTTGAAAACATGGTGAGCCCATCTGCCGTCGCCTGAGTTTGAGAGAAGCGCTGTCTTGCCGCTCGAAACTCTTGTGCAGCTTGTTGAAACTTCTATTCTGCTTGTGTCATCAATGTTGCTTTGAGGCACTGTGCGCAGAAACTTGGGATCCAGCCCTGGTCTGGCAATGTCCTCGGTAACAGATGAAGTCCTTCTTTGGTCAAGGACCTGGCTGGAATTGCGTGTCCACACCCAGGGTAAGCAAGTTTACTTCGACAGAAGGGGCAGGTATCCTGAGTCTTGAACCACTTTTCGAGGCAACTTGAGCAAGCAGCATGTCCACACGGCATTAAACTGAAATCAGACTCGTCAAGCGGCTCTGCATCGTACCTGATCTGACAGTTCGCTTGATGACATATTTGGCACTCTAGTCTGATTGGCTCATCTATCAGGAACGTAACCTTGGGAAATGGGATAAACGACTCTTCTGGGTCGTAGCATCGATGAGGCTGAAACCACGGGGCAAACCATGGCAGTATTTTGGACTTGATCCATGATCCAGGAGTCGATTTTGTGCTGGTTTGCTGGGATTGTGTTTTAGGCTGTGTAGTAGCCCGGGTTCTTAGGTATCTCTTTCGAGGAAGCGTCTGGGTCGCCATTGTGCAATACCTGCTGCGAAGGCTATTTTTAAATTATGTAAGTTGGTATTAGTAACACTGATTGAGAAAAAATATCGCTACCCTGGTATTTAAACATCTAATTTGACAGCTGGGGGGTTGTTGTTCGAATATCCTTTGTCAGGGACAGGTTGCTTTCCATTCGTGTTCACTGTTCGATTCGATGTTCGACGTCTCAAAGCATCGACTTACGAAAAGACGTCTTGCAGTCAAAGGAGATCACTGAACAGTCTATTTCATTCTTCCACGTGTCCTGGCACTTATCATTGATGTTCTATGAACCCCGCGAACGAACGGCTAAAGCTTCTCCAATAGTAGCGCCGGACTCAATATTGAATAGATACACTTCATCATTCTATTCTTAGGGTCTAAGTGAACGAGTTGCAAATGAGCGAGACAAAGTCAGTGGGACCTGGGTTCTCACGACAAATTCCCCAATTGAGGAAAGGTCACAACTTCGATTAACGACCAGGATCCATTAGTTGTAGATCACCATATTACAACGTCTTATAACGGATTAGCTATGCCATCTCATCATACTATGAAACATTTAGTCCTTTTCATGCCTGCTTCTCTTCATTAACAATGTGTCATTCGACCTTCAGCCGCGGAAGAAGTACCCAGTATGTGGAGATATTGGGGAAATTAGAGTGACATGTCGCAAGAGATCTTGTGCATCCTTTCCCGATGCCGATATACTTGCAGTAACCCTTGGTCGCATGCTTACAAGACTGACCTTTCAATATACTAGATCATATGGTAGGTAGGGACTATGCCAGGTAGACAGGTATTTCTGCATGAACATCCTATTCAGGTGGTTAACTACGCCGCGCGGCACAAAACCACCCGACAATCCAATCATCTCTAGACTTTACGTTCTGTGCAGAAAATCCTCAAATTTTGAGGTGCGTCCAAGGGTCTTAGTTGTTGTATAATGATTCGTTGCCTCCAGTTCACCATTTTCAGTCTTTTTCATGATAGAACTTGAAAGGAGACTGGTCATGTCCTGACCAAGGTCTTCTCAGATGCATTCAGACCCAGTGCCCAGACCAAGCTTAGCTAGTAAAGCGCCCCAGAGGCTGTGCATCATCCAAAGGTTAATTTGTGTCCGACCGAGAATGCTCAGGCTAAAGCTAGGCTTCGGAACCGGAATTAGGAAATCAAGGATCAGGTCCGGGACAGTTTCCGGTCTCCGGGACTTGGATCGGTAAATACAATAAATTGGTCGAGACGGAGGACAGAACTGAATCGTGGGACACCAAGATGGGTCCGGCTACAGGATGGCTTAGAGAATAAGCTTTCAACATGGCTAGACTGGAGACTTGTCTTGTTGCAAAGAGCAACTAACTACTGCACAGTTTATCTTTAACTAGCAGCCGTTGAGAAGTAACTGTAGGTAGCTCCCGCTATGCTATTTGCTGTGGTTTCTTGGCTCTGTTATGTCATAGTTACGGGAGCATCTTTCTTTGTGACAACCGTACCTCAGCAGTTTGTATCTTGTACGTGAGATTGTGTTGAAAGCGGTCAACCAAGCCATGAATTATGCCTATATGGTGTTAATAGATCAGCAGCAAGGATACTTTGACACCGTCTTTTATAACCCATTATCACTTCTCCACTATGTCGAGTAACAGAGTTTCTACTTCCTCGATTTCACTTAGAACAAACGTATATGTCAATATTTTACGAGGCCTTTTACCATTTCCTATCTTAACAAAGTGCTGGCTCTTCATTTAAGGATACGAAATGGAGAAATAAAGTAAATTGTTTGTCAACTATTGTTCTCACAACGTTGTATGAACGAGCTGATGTCAACTCTCTAGGGTAAGCTATACGACAAATCCTTGTACACTTTTCTGGTTGCTGGGTCACAAAGTAAACAGGGGCCTCAACGGCAGAAATATCCGACGAACCAGCGAATCCTCCGCCGTTGAGAAGAAGAGTCACTGCGCTTCTCCTTGGTCAGAAATAACTCTTGGCGGCTTCGTTAGGCAATGAGATCTGTGCATCAATGGGCCCATGTAAGAAGTGACACAGAAAAACTGCCTGGATAAGGGGCTGCTGGGCAACAGGCGATTCCTGACCTGATCTCGGGTTTTCTTTTTATATACCTAGGTATCTATATATAACAGTTACATGCTCGTAGCACCTTCAACTCTCAATCCATCAATCTACAACTAATGTCTCTGTCTTAAAGTGTTCATACCCGCCACAGCCTTGCACAACTTCTTCAATCAACATGCCTTCTCTCAAGACTCTGTTCGCTTCGGCTACTATGGCTTACCTGGCCACCGCCAAGACCATCAAGATCACTGCCACCAGTGACGACAAGTTCGACCCTGAGGAAGTCGAGGCTGAGAAGGGTGATGTCCTCGAATTCCACTTTGAGCCCAAGAACCACAGTGTTGTTGCTGGCGACTACCGCTATCCTTGCTCTCCCCTCGATCTTGGCAGTGGTTTCTTCTCTGGTTTCCTTCCCACTGATTCTGGATCTGCCGTAAGTTGCAACGCCTCATATGACTTTCACGAATCAACTAACACGCTCTCTAGGACAAGGTTTTCCAAGTCACAGTCAACGACACCGACCCTACTCCTTTCTACTCTTCTCAGGGCAAGGAGTGTGCTTCTGGCATGGTCGGCATCATCAACCCTGACAAGAACAAGACTCTCTCCGACTACAAGGAGCGCGCATCAGAGCTGAGCTCCGGTGTTAACCCTGGCAGGAAAGCATTTGGTGGCGAGCTTGTTGACTCTGATGATGCCGACGCAGATGATAGTGACGACAAGGACTCTGGCAAGTCTTCGGGCAGCAAGGACGACGACGACAACGCAGCTGGTACTCTCGGAGCTCCCTTCGCTGGTGTTGTTGCTGCCATTGGCCTTGCCTATATCATGGCTTAATTTGGAGAGATTGTGCGACGTCAAAATGTGACACGAATATCATGATTTTGTTTGAAGCTAGTCTTGGAACAGCTGGAGTAATTAGGGATCAATAATCGCATACTTGAGATCCTGTATATAGAATGTTTATACCAATATAGCGTTTCTGGTTGTTCAAAACCTCAGGTGTCTGGAAACACACTGCTTGCAGTTATCTGTTCCTTGACTGTTTCAACGTTCTCTTCGTGCATTGCAATCTTGATGTTGCCATGATGATAGATCTACCTTGGGCCGGATGCGATTACTCTTGGCCTGAAGAGCCTCATGTTTGCATACATATCAGTGGTCAGACTTGTGATTGTTGCTGAGGACATATCAGGATAGTAGATAGTGAAGATGAAGTGAGCAATCAAACGCTCGGAGTTCTTTCGGCATGCACCATCAACTCAATTGGCTGACCTTTCATTCTCGACTCCAACGTATAACCAAACATGAAAGCTTTTATTGGCGATATTGATAAAGAAGCGCAAATTAATCACATTGATCATCATGTTAAAAAAAAAGTTCCTAATAAGCAGCTGACCATTCGAAAATGCGATCCATTTCTGGAATGTTCATCTAGGGTAAGCCTATTCAGATCATTGAGAGATTGATAAGCCATCATGTTAGCGAACCTCGGCAATGTGGTATGACGTCGCTTAAACTGCGGGTGACACCATCGTCGGAGTATCGGCAGGCCTCGGGTCCAAGGAAGTCAAACACCGGAGATCAATTCTAAACCCGGCCCACCTCCATCGTCAATTCAATACCGGATTCACAAGCTCCCCTCCTCGATTTACTTGTCACAACTCAAGTATTCTCTCTGGGACGAACTAGCAATCGATCGCGAACGACTAGAGACTTGAAAAGTAGCACTTGTATGCGATCAATATGCGAGGCGCACTGAGGTGCAGCACCATTATCCGTCATCCTCGAGTCGTTAGACCCTTGACGGATAGCGGCAAGTATGCAAGAACGTTTCGGACGACTGCAGCGCCACATGCCCTGAGAACAGGCTCATGTTGCCGCAAAATACGACCTGAACTTGCGATTCAAGGCGCCAATATATCAACATCATGCCCCAACCGTTCTCGGTCCATGGCCACAGTAGTCGACGCTGAGCCTATTCGTGGCGGAGGTCCAATTCCAGAGTACGACAGAAGGGTTGCAGCGGGAAGGTTACGGAATGATGAACACCAAAGAGGTGAGCATAGTGGAAATATAATAAAATTGTACCAAAGAGCACTGACAATGTCAAGGAATTATTCAAAACTTCCAAAACCTGTATCATGAATTGGAACAATATGACGCCCCTCCTGTCGAACATCCCACTATAGAATCCCTCAAGCCCACCAAAAAATCCATATTCTCGTCCCTCTTTGGCTCGAGTGGCAAAAAATCTGCCATCGGGACGATTTCCAGCGACCTCCCTAAAGGCTTGTATCTTCATGGCGATGTTGGCTGCGGCAAGACCATGCTGATGGACCTCTTATACGACACTTTACCCCCGTCTGTCAAATCAAAAAGTCGCATCCATTTCAACAACTTCATGCAAGATGTGCACAAGCGACTGCACAAGTTTAAGATGGAGCATGGTAACGATATCGATGGTGTGCCTTATGTCGCAGCCGATATTGCTCAACAGGGAAATGTTCTCTGTTTCGATGAGTTCCAATGCACTGATGTCGCGGACGCCATGATTTTGAGAAGGTATGAGTGCCCTTATACAGACAATTGTGCAATCCTAACATTTTGAAGATTACTCGAGTCCCTCATGGCAAACGGTGTAGTGCTCGTAACGACATCCAACAGACGTCCCGACGAACTGTATAAGAACGGCGTTCAGCGAGAGTCTTTTATCCCTGCCATCGAGCTACTCAAAAACCGCCTGCATGTTATCAACCTAGATTCTCCAACAGACTACCGAAAGATTCCCCGACCGCCATCTGATGTATACCACACGTCGCTCGACAGCCACGCCCAAGCACACGCCGAGAAATGGTTCCGATTCCTCGGCGACCCCGAGCAGCCAGAGCCCCGACCCGAGATCCAGAAGGTCTGGGGCCGCGAAATTTATGTTCCCCGAGTCAGTGGCCGCGCAGCATGGTTTACTTTTGACGAGCTGATCCGACAACCAAAGTCCGCTGCTGACTTCATCGAACTTGTCCGCTCTTACGAGGCATTCATCGTCACTGATATCCCCGGCATGACTCACCAGCAACGAGATCTTGCGCGTCGATTCATCACATTTATCGACGTTGTATACGAAGGCAATGCCAAGCTTGTCTTGACAACTGAAAAGCCTCTGTCAGAGCTGTTCGTTTCTCGTGACGAGATTGCTGAAAGTTTGATGAAACAAGGTGTGAAGGGCGCTGACGCCGAGAAAGCTGCCGATAGTCACGACTTGGTGCACAACGTCGAAAAGCTCAAGGATTCAAATCTTTTTGCCGGTACAGAGGAAGCTTTTGCATTTGCTCGAGCTCTTAGTCGACTGCGGCACATGGAGAGCAAAGAATGGGTTGAGAGAGGGATGGGTCTCGAGGCTCAGGGCGGACAGCCAGATAAGGACAATTGGATTAAAGCCAGAAGTAAGCAGATGGAGGACTCCATGTAAAGAGCAAAAGATGGGAGCTTGGTTTGTGAAAGTGATGCATTATACCCAGGGCATTGACTCGGCATAGCGAGCGTTTGCCTGGTCCTGTATTGATTGTTGCGAGATGCCAACTATTGACCAGGTAACTGGCCGTTTGGATTCAGGCATGAATGTATTTATCATCTACATATTTGCATACATACATAGAGACATATGGCGAGCCTGACTTACAATCTTGATGTGTTCAATGGATTGTCCGCGCTTTCTAGATTCATGAATTCCACGAATCGTATCAAACCAGCTTTAACAGGGTTGTCTGGATCGTTGCTTAATTGAAATCACAGCCGAATGCGCATTTAGCCTTGTCGGCACACCGAGCCAGGGGTTGCTGGGCTAATAGATACAAGATGATGGTAATTTAACGAGTATCAACTGGGCATATGGTTTTAGGATCCTGCTTTCGTCGAAGGGTCGAAACATCCCATGACGATGAACGCTGAGCTCACCAGGAATGCAGTTTAAATGGCCCCTTGGACTGGAAGTGCCTACTTAGGCGAACTGCCGGTAGATCGTTCAGTTTGATAGTGAGACAATTGAGAGGCGTAGGAGGAATGCCATGTCTAAGACCACGGTGATCGCTCTCTAAGCCCAACCGTTTCAGACCAGCCACTCTTCGTAACCCAAACATACGACAGCAGACAGAAGCGGCACACATACGTAGTGGCTGACACCTTGTACATAGTAGGCGGCAGGTGATAAAAATACCAGGTATTTCGAAACGGAGGCGAGATGAGTCTCGTGGCATTTAGATACCCGAGCTTCTTCATTCTCAAATTGACAGCATCCAGCGCAAGACAAATATGAATGTGGCAAGTCAAGGCTTGCTGGTGTGATAGGGTCTAAGTAAATAAAGACGTTGGACAACAAGCCACACACGGTAATCACCAACAGAGCGATACAGGCCGAGGATGAAACAGTGACGTTGGGCGATGTAACCAGCTGGAAATTGACTTTGGGGAACAGCGTTGTGTTTAACTGTATCGTATGTTTGCGCATTTTCCGCAGATTTGTGACCATGTGCTGTGCAAGACACATCGCCTAGCATTGTTTTATGTGATTATTTCGTATCGCGGATATCAGGTGACATTGATACACGAGATAGTTGTATCAGTGACAGAGGTAGAGGCAGGCATATACAGAAGTCAAGCTGGTGGACACGTCAAGAGAAGCAAGCGGATCGACAGAGCATGCACAGACTTGCCTCCAATTGTTTCGACGTAGTCGGTCAATGCGGCACCTGGAAAACAAAGGAGTCAGTTTGTTTCTTTTAATACAGCAATTTCTTTGACAAATATGGGCAACTTTTCGGAAGCAACACCAAGATCAGAAGGCTTCCGTAGACCGAGCCCGGACCGTCCGTGCATGTTGCGACTCGGCTCGTCAGGTTTAGGCCAGATTCTCTGTCTGTGACAGGAGACAAAACATGGGGTTATTTATTGAGCTGCAGTTCCAAGAAACATAGCCCCGCTGTTTTGTAAACACGGAAAGGGTCTACCGTAACCTGGGACAGCTAGTGATTGACTGAGCGGTCTTTGTCCACTTTGTCAATCCGGACGTCACGACCTGAGCGAGACATGGAAACGGTTGCTGAAGACAAACATCGATCGGCCTTTTTTTGTGCTAATCGATTCACATTCAATAATGTATCCATAAAAAGGAGAAGGATAAGAGAGAGTGTGTGGGATAATTTTAATAAAATCGGGCAATTTGAGCCAGGGTTTATTAAATGAGGAGACGTTTGAGCTTGACTGAGGTTAGTAGCTAAAGAGCTATCAAAGCCACGCCTCTTCAAGTCTTCACGGATTGGCCGGTTTCCCAGCGGTTCCTGGCTAAGCAGAATCAGCGGGGCACTTTTAACCAATCATTATACTCTCGTCCCTGACATCTAGCGCCAGTGGCACAAGCCCCCTGTTCAATCCCCGTAAACGCGCCTAACCCCCTGGCTAATATTGTAAATGCAGTAAACAGAACGGAAGTAGGGAAGTAAAGGAAGTGGAAGATGCAAGGATTAGGCTTCGCTACCTTGAGAGCGGGTTTTTTTGTTCTTGTTTTCGCCTACGAATCACAGACTCGCTCGATTCCTTGGCTCCGAGTTCCTCTGCTGATCATCATCTAATTATGCATAGCATTCAATGTAGTCAGCGGGTGGAAACCGCACCTTGCCTCATTTCTTAGCAATTTCCAACTAACTCATTCTTACTGACGCTCACAGGCTGAACGACGGAAGTGACACGACACGATACAGTTTGACTCTCGAGGTGGCTGCATCAATGGCAGGTTAAATTTGGAACAATGTGTCTCCGTTGCCCATTGATCCTAAATAGGTGGTTTGCTTTGTGTTGAACAGAGAGAGCACAGGCACAGGCTACCCGTCGTGCTTCCCAGAGGTTGCATTCATTCTTACAAAGGACTGAGGTCAATGTCAACTTGTACTACCATGTACTGTAAAGCTGGCTCAATATGAAACACGAGGCAAACAGGCCTGCTTTTTAATACAAACCGTAGAGCAAGATACCCCGAGATACACGATCAATGCCCTGCCACTGCCAGGTTCAGCTCTGCTGTCGCTAGGATTACCACTGTCCATGCTGTGCTAGCCCAGGCCTCGGTTGGCCCTATCAGACTTGAGCGAAGTCTGGGGGCCTTGTTTAGCCCCAGCACTCCGCTCCTGATCCTAGGTTTCCCCTTCTCCTCGCATCTCTGTCTCTCGTCGCCTTTATCCACCTACTTCCGCCTTTTCTATTCTGCACCTTTCTTTTTACTTACTCTCCCAATCCCTTGAGATTGTTGAAATTCTGAACTGTTTCTCTTCACGGTCGCTTCATCCTTTTGCTGCTGCCTGTGCCGAGTTCAGTTCGTCCATTCGTTTCCACCGCGCGTTTTTGCAAAATCGCCATTGTGTGCCTAGAACAATAACCGAGATAATTATTGCTTCTTCTACGCACCTTACACTCATTTGGCAGCCGGTCCAATACTTTTTACGTTTTACGTCGTAACTAGCAGTTGAACTTGCGCTTTTACATCACTTTCGCTACCGACGCAAACCCCCTGCTGTTCTCATCTGAGACATCGCAGCCACCCGAACAAAGACATCGGTCTTGAAAACCCCTAACAGATACTATCATTGTTCCCGCCATCTTTTATAACGCTCTTCATTCCAGTATACTGAACAACCAACCCCGCGAATTTCTCTCATTAAGGACGATATATCCTGTCAGGACGACGAACGCGCTTAGTGCAAACCGTCATCGCCAACAAGCTCGTTGTCATTTGACCTTGGAAAATCCAGCAAAAATGCATCTTCGGCACTTACATGTGCACCGAAGAGCCGATGGGCTTTTCGGATTTGGCAACATTGCCCATGAAATTGATGTTTCTGCCGATGCCTCGAAGCGTGATGTTGAGAAGCGAGAACCTCGTAAGTATTTTACCTGTTTACATCTCACTCACAGTCGATTTGAAATGACAATTATGTGGTTGATGACGATGATTGTCTAACTCGTTGTAGAGGCAGTGAGGACCGTCTTCAAGACTATTGAGGCGACATTTGAAGGGGCCATTGGTGGATACAAGACAGTCGGCAGCGAGCCTGAACCTACAGGCTCTTCAAAGGACGAAGACGACGACGACGACGACAAGGAAGACGAGAAGAAGAAGGAGGCTGAAGACAAGAAGAAGGAGGAAGCGGCTGAAAAGGAAAAGGAAGCCGAAGAAGCTAAAGAGAAGGCTCAAGAGGCCAAGGAAAAGGCCAAAGAAGACGCCGAGAAGAAGGCCGCTCAAGAAAAGGCTGAGCAAGAGGAGGAAGAGAAAGCAAAAGAGGAAGAGAAGAAGGAACAAGAAGAGGCTGCCAAGAAAAAGGCTGCTGAAGAGGCCAAGTCTCGTAGTGAGGCCGAAAACGACACAACCGCGAAAGAGAGCTCAACGATTAAGCCCACTAGAACTCGCGCTCAAGTCACCAGCAGCAATGAACCTTCATCTATCCCTACTGTTATCAGTGACCCAACCGAGTCTCAATCAATCGAATCCATCCTGGCCAAGGCAACGGGCGCCGCTTCTGCTTCGACAACCATTGATGAGGTCGCCGACATTTCCGGAACTTCAGCTCTCCCCAGTTCCACTTCTGTCCCCGATGCCACCGGCACCAGCGCAGGAACCAAGGCTGGAATCGCTTTTGGTGTTCTAGGAGGACTGCTTGCCATGGGATTGCTGATTTTCTTTGTCTTCACCAAGCGCCGCAAGCAAGCTGAGATGGAACGGCTCGAGAACGATGATGAGAAGCTTCATGGCCCAATGGTTGGTCGTGGTGGTGCGGCTCCTCCTATGGCTGCCGCTGCTGCCGTGCGTCGATCCATGAGCCCTGAACCCTTTGAGCCCGACACCTCATCCGTCCGCGCAGATGCGCAGGCTCCTCGCGTCAGCCTCCGACCCGTCACTCAATTCCTCCCCAACTGGAACGGTATCGAAAACCAGAAGCGCTCAAGCAAGGGCGCTGCCTTGGCTCTTGCCGTGCCTGCTTCCACTTCTCCGTCAGCTGCTAATGGACCTTTGTCACCACGAACTCCTGGTGGTAGTGCTTGGGAGCGCCCTTCCACAGCTCAAAGCGTCGATTCTGCCAATCCCTTCGGCACACAGGCTGAGCGTGTCCCTTCGCCTGTTCAAGAGGAAACTGCTTCTGCCCTCCGCGCCTCTCCTAGTCCATTGTCCGAAAACTCGGCCATCGCTGTCTCGTCCCCTGTCTCACCTCAATCGCCCTTTGAAAATCCCGTCACAGCCAGTGGAGCTGCAGCCGGAGCGGCCGCAGTCGCTCGTAAGACGTCGATACGCAAGGATGGCCCTCCTCAACTTGATCTGACAATTCCCAAAGCCCCTATGGCAGCCATTCCTGGCAGCCCTGCCAGTACCGACTACAGTAACACTTCCGCCACAGGGGGTGCTCCTGAGAGTCCTTCGGCTGGCGCGGCCGCCATTGCAGCTGCTGGAGGACCTGCCACCTCGGCTGTTCACCGCGTGCAGCTTGACTTCAAGCCTACTATGGATGATGAACTGGAACTGAACGCTGGTGATCTTGTCCGACTCCTTCACGAATACGATGACGGCTGGGTAAGTATACTCCTAATTGTGATTCTTTATCCGAATTATACTAACTCACTCAGGCACTCTGCATCCGACTTGACCGTTCTCGACAAGGTGTTGTTCCTCGAACTTGTCTATCAACCCGCCCTGTGAAGCCTCGTCCTGCTCAAAATGGTCCTCGACCAGGTCCTCCTGTTAAAGGCGGTCCTCCTCGAGGACCCGGACCTATGGGACCTAACGGCGGACGCCCTCAATCACCCATGGGACCCCCGGGCCGCCCTCAAATGGGCCCCGGACCCCGTGTCCAGTCACCTGGACCCTTCCAAGGCCCTCCTCAAGGCCGTTCCATGAGCCCTGGACCTCGATCGCAATCGCCTGGTCCCCGTAATGGACCACCAGGTGGCAGGCCCATGAGCCCTGGACCTCGCTCTCAGTCGCCTGGGCCCGCTGGTGGACGTTCGCAAAGCCCTAGTGGAGTGAACCGAAGAAACAACCCTCCTGGACCTAGCCCAATGAATCCTTCTCAGGGGCCAACTACTTCAGGCTCACTCAACAGAAAGCCCGTCCCTGGCCAGGCTTATTAAGCCGCCTACTGCAGGCGATAGGGCCGTATGAAACAGGATTAAAAGGACCGGCGTTCTGCGATACCACGGAGAGGCTCGAGCATTATGGTCTGCTCACGATTTTTCACTCTTCTGGTGGATGATTTACTCTATTTTGAAACTTCTTGTCATTAACTTGACCATTTCTTTTCCTTTATGTGGCCATTTGAGCCCTATGTCTTCTTCTATCACGTTCATATAACGTTCGTATGTCTCTAGCGGTCATTGACCTGCCGCTAAATCACAACATGCTGTATCTTGTGTCAGTGCGACTACGAGATGGTTTTTCGACTGTTTGGTTTTTGGAAAACATACGCATGTAGATTGCGGTGTCTTGCCGCGAGACAATCTCCTCTCCACGTGGAAAGGAGTTGCGCTAGTCGCTAATGTGTATTCATGTTTGCGTTTACCTTTTTCGTATATCATTCCTTCCCCCTGCGGCCGGTTCCGGGTCGTTGGATGGAGATGAAAGGAAGCTTGCTGGAGGGCTTGTTACCGCCAGAAGCCAAGATTTGAAGATTTAAGACGAAAGATAGAAAATGAAACTATTTCCTCGATGAGCTGGTTTTTCTTATTCCCTCATGTTACCTACCTTCTCGGCTGCTCCATCAAAACATCGTGACTTGATGCTACATACCTGTATATGCTGCTGAAAGTATCTTGTAAAGTGATAAAGGAGTACAGGTTTGCACAAATCGTACACAAGCCCTGCAATTTGACAACCTCAAACTGTTAGAATGTTATTGAATGTCTTGCCGACCACTTACACTTCATTAGGTAACTCAGAGGTAAAGTGCCTAGTGGGTAGTGGAAAAGTCAGACCTTGAAGTCTTAGGATATAAAAATAAGTAATCTAAGAAGTATGGCCTAAAGAGCATAAACTGATCTAATGATTTCGTCCCTTATGCTTCTTCTATCAACTTTCCTAATACTTAGGAGGAAGTGCAAAAATAAATGATCACGCTGGGGATCGAACCCAGAATCTTCTGATTCGTAGTCAGACGCCTTGCCATTGGGCCACGCGACCTCGCTTTTAGATGTTTTCTGTTTAACAGATCGGCGTCCAAGTGTGAAGAACGTGAACATGCACTCTGTTACAGGTGATCCTTGTCTCTTTAATTTAATTACCTAGGGCTGCCTGCTTCCTTCCTGCATCTGTACCCATAAACTTCAACGAGAACCTTCCCAAGTCCCCTAACATAGTAGGTACCTACTAGGTAAGTAATGGGAGATTCAGACTAAGTAAATGCACTTAGCAACCTTCGACCGTCAACTCCATTCCATTTCATCAAAAATCAGTAGCCCCAGCTCCCAGGGTATCTAGTCATGCGTGGGGACATAAAGACATAATCATCGCTTCCCCTTCGCTGTTCCCCTTTTTTCAACGCCCTTATTTCAACGCCAAGATTCGGGTGATAGGTAGGTTGCCATGCTGACTCCTATCAGCCTACTCTTCATCCATCAAATACTCCAGGATGGACGTGCCCGAATGGGAGTCTCCGCAGCAGGGGCAGATGCCCTCTTCTTCATCGTCCCAGTCGACACCGCCAATCTCGTATCCGCTAGAACGAGAGAATTGGATCCAGTCGCGCTTCTCGACGTCTCGAGAGATGGGAACTCGTTTCCAGATGACAGCTTCCTCGTCGCGGTCTGAGGATGGGTGCCCTTCTTCACTCGGTGCAGGAGGCAAGACTCCAAGCTTGGTAGCACGTGAGTGGCTGTGAAATGTGTCAGAGTCGTCTTCACTGTCCTCATCGTCATCGGGCTTCCAAGCTCTTATCACCCTAGCGCACCATTTCTTCCCTTGGAGACGTTGAAGATACTTGGAGCGCGCCATGTACGAAGCTGGGCCGTCGAGATACAACCCTTCGTCTTTGAGCATTCCACTCATTTCCACCGAGGCCTTCAGGCCAGTGTCGTCAAATGGCATGCCTGTGACTTGAAGTTCATTCAGGGTGCAGCCGAACTCGTGAGAGCAAATGTCATGCAACTCAGCGCCACTGAAAGGAAGGAGCGTGTCAGAAAAATTGACGAGGTCGAGTCGGAGAGAAACCAGAGATGGGAGCATTTTTGGTCGCGGCAGCTTCCTGTTTCGGTAACTCGGATCGAAGGGTGCACGAAGTCCCTCGAGGAAGTCGACAACCTGGTTCCAAGTGTAGCACCGGAAACCCCCACGGGTGAGAGGAGATTCGCTAGAACGCTGCTGAACCTTCAAGTGATGGTCCTTCTTCAGATCGGAATGATAGCAGCGGTCCAGTTTGTGCCGACGAGCTGGTTGGTC